ACAGACAGACAGACAGACAGAGACAGAGATAGAGACAGGACAGAGACAGGGACAGACAGAGAGAGAGAGACAGAGAGAGAGACGACGACAACAACAACAACAACAACAACAACAATAACAACAACAACATCATCATCAACAACAACAACAACAACAACAACAACAACAACAACAACAACAACAACAGCAAGAATGGAAACAATTTATTCGAGGAGGACAAGTTGGGTGTTGTTGAGAAAGAAGGAACAAACAATGTCAGAGCATCCAACAACCACCAAAAAATAGGACAAAGGGAGACTGGACTGCCTCACACGTTTGAGGGGCGATGGCCCTTGCGATGTATGTATTTCTTGTGGTCGTGGAGAGGGGCATAAAACAAATTACATGCTCTGTAGCCACACACACACACGCACACACACACGCACACACACACACACACACACAAACACACACACACACACACACACACACACACACACACACACACACATACACACACACATAACACAACAACAACAACAACAACAACAACAACAACAACAAAAACAACATCAACAGCAACAACAAGATTAGCACAGCCATTAACAGAAAGAGAAGATATTAAAAATAATAACAAAAACATCAGTGGGAACATGATACTCAATATCGCAAAAGACAGGATTAGAAATATAAAAAAACACAAAGCAAAATAGCGATGACAACAACAACAGATGCTGTAGCAGCAGCAGCAAAAAAAGAAGAAGAAAAAGAGGAAGAAACAGCAGCAGCAGCAGCAGCAGCAGCAGCAGCAGCAGCAACGGCAATTACTCCACTCACGGCACTCATCTCCGGGTCCCTCACGAAGTGTGTCTGCCAACTCGACTCTAATCGCGATCCTCTCCACTTCTTGACCGCTGTCTGTTTTGGTCACTACAGCCAAAATAGGGTTGATGCCTTTATATCTGAAAATCATCGAAGGTATTGGCCATTCTTTTATATCAATTTGCACTGGCAATGTAATCATTAGGTGATTTTAGCTTTTTGTACAATATTAAATAACTGCCGAGGACTATTCTTTTCTAAAATATACAAAAACATTCAACACGAGGACTATTCTTTTCCAAAATAGACCATACCATGTAACACGTGGACTATTCTCTTTAAAAATACACATGTAACACGTGGACTATTCTCTTGAAAAATACACAAAAGCATCCAACACAAGGATTGACTATTCTTTTTTTTAAATATACAAAAGAATACAACACGAAGGGTTAATTGGGTCGTTTTAATACTGAAAGTACTGATGCAGTGAAGGATACAAATATACCCCCCCCCCTCCAACCACCCTGTTTCGCAATGTTTCAACTATAGTGCGGTCAACAATTCGTTGCACAATTTATCCTCAAATATCTGTTTAACGAGTGAATCAGTGTGAACCATACTTTGCACAGCAGTTTGTATCAATTTGTCTTAACTTAATCATATTTTTCCACGACAATTGAGGCTAGATTAAAAAACTTTTCTTCATAAAATATATAAAATACAACAAATGTTCACGCGAAAAATGGAATTGTTCCCAGCACGTCCTGCTTCTCACAAACACTTTGCGCACGCATATGCCCCCGTCACACCTCACCAATGACACTTTTCAGTGACAAACTTTGTTACAGACATTAATTATAATATAGTGAATACTTTATGGCAAACAAAAGTTCTCAAAACATGCATTCAATAAGCACAGTGTCACGATTAGAAAAACATGACGGACTTGTCCCAGCTGTAAACCTTTTCAAATCTGTAGACAGCACCCAATGAGATTTTTTTTAAATTAGTATTTATTAAGGAATTTTAAAGAATGCCTCTAACAAATGTTTACAAAAATATTGATATGTTGAGACAAATTGTTACAAGCCACTGTGCAAAAACTGGAGAGTTTATGTTGGATAGTTGAGGAGATATTTGACAATAAGTTGCGCCACGAATTTTTTTACCACACTAGAGTGCATAAACCGTTGGAGTTACAGTGAAGCTGCAGCTACGACACCAGATTGTGATCGTCGTAGTACATTAAGACTGGAGTGGGAGGGGGGATAGAGGGATAAACATAAACCTGTTCAAAACGACAACCCATTGTCAGAGAGAAATGGGTCATCTTAAACAGAGGACCCGTTGGACAGTTTCGTTAAATGTTATTGTTTTTTTTACTTGAGGGGGAAATGACACATATATATTACAGGTAAAAGAAGTTACTGGAGGTCGATTTGAAGACTTTCAATGGTTTTCCCGCCTTCTTGAATTTGTCCTATAATGATGGTCCCAATAGACAGGATAATATCATTTACAAAATCAGTACCGAACAAGTGACTAGTGCGAAAGAGAACAAAGAAAATGTATGTGTTGGGGGGGGGGGGGGGTGAAGAGACTGTGTGTGTATATAATATGTGTATGTATGCATGTGTGTCTGTGAATGTGCGAATGTGTGTGTGTGTGTGGGGGGGGGGGGTTAATTTAGTAAACGGTGTTTATGTCATTCATTGTATAGCTCCAGCAAGAAGGATGTAAATGTAAAGATCAAGATTAAAAAGGGCTTAAAGATCTAAATTTTCTCATGATAGAAGCCAGTCATGCAACAAAAACCAGGAACTTTTGCATAGTGAATGTCAATTCATCCCTTCCCCTTCTACCCACCCCCCCCCCCCCACCCCATATTAGAATTGAGATATTAAACGTTACCGGGTCAAGTTATACACCTCGTTCACGTAGACATCACCAGAGTTGGTGACGGCCAAAACCCTTTTGAGAGCCTCGGGATTAGAAGTCACTATGCGGTAGCTGACATTGGTAGGCACTTTCTCTGGCTCTTCCTCCAACCGAACAACCTGCAAGAAGACAATGTGTTCAAGACCAGGAAACTAGGCAACATGTAAAACAACACTGATCAACCAGCAAGGCAAGCAAGCATACAAAAGAAAGCAACCAGCAAACAAAATATAAACCACCCTATCCAAGCAATGAAACCATCGAACCGACAAAACAACTATTGAATACCAACTAACTGAAATAAAAAATCAGTATTCAGCTAACCCACCTGCCAATCAATCGATCAGTTTTTCATAAAAATAAACAAGCGCATGATCCGTTACAGTGATTGTGGCTGATTGCTTGGCCTTTCTTTTCATTTAGTTCTTCGCGTTCTATTTCAAGAACTCATCAGCAATTGTCTTTCAACAACCAACTAGACAACTTACATAACCCACCAGTATTATGAAGCTTGTTCGAAATAAAAGCCATCTATGTTTGATTTTCTCGTAATGTCCTCTGTATATGTATAGAAAGATGGGATGAGAGGATATAGCCTTGTCTGACTTCTCTATTTTATTTTAAAATACAAGTCGATTTAAAAAAAACAGCTTTACAAATTTCTTTCTGAATATCTGCCACAAAAGAATGTTCCAGAATATTATAATTCTTAATAGAAATACTTCTTTAGAAATAATGTTTTGGCATAAAATTTATAACGAAGAAAATTATTTTCGAAGACAGAGACGACTTTCAGAAGATACACCACCCATAGCCACAAAATGCACCAACTTATCTTGAACGGAAAGTTAGAAAACGACTGAGGTTTTTTTTTTTTCTTACTTTTCATTTCAATTTTTATTGTGTCCGTCCCTGAAACATTTTTTTTTCTTATGAACTAAAAGTTTTATTCTGTGATTCCTAGAATCAGTGTTTTACATGTCCTCTTTTAGACTCAACTCATTTTGAATGAGTCGTTGGTAAAGTTCAGTGATGGCCAAACACAAGGACCCGCCAAACCAGGGGTGCTTAAAGCCACACACACTGCACACCTTACAGTAAGGAGTGACTTCTAGAGACAATATGGGGTGGGTGGGTGCCCAGTGGACAGCATTTGTGGACTTTACATATTCTGAAAGGTGAAAATGGGCTTTGCCACTGAACCAAATGCCATCGAGGAAATATTGGCGCTTTTCGAAACGATCGAGAAATCATGAACATGCAGTCATCCTCTGCCCATATCATCAGCGAGAAAAGGAGAATGGTACTGTCGTAGGTGAAGATCTGCCTTGACAATATGGACTGTTGAGGTGCAGGAAAGTCCTAGCTGCAGGCATCGTCTGTGGACAGACGTCCCATGGCACTCGGCTACTGAAATCAGCATCTTGGTGATGTTTAAAGGGTACATGTACGACTTGAAGTGGTCGTTTTCGTTGGACATTTAGGTACTGATTCTCTATAGATCCAAAATGACTATAATATTCTGTCCATGACATAAAATAAAGCCTTGAGGGCACTTTATTAATCTGCCGGTACCTTGTGCAAAACTTACGAAAAGAGCTGGTGGCGAGGTAATGTTCAATAAAAAATAACAGACTCTTTGCTCTTCCTAAACTTAACCATGATTTCAGCAGGCAAAGAAAACTTGTACCTGCAAATTTTTGTTGGCTTGTTAGACTATTATAGTTTGCAATATGATGTAATCATATGGGCTCTTATTTTGTGCTCCCATCTTTGTGAAGCAGTAGAAATTCCTGTATTTTTAATTCAGTCACAAGTGGTCTGTACTACGCAACACATAATGTTGCACTGCTTTCATGCCGGATACTCTGTAATTCTTCAAAAGCTCTGTAGGTGTGCTGTCTTCTTATTTTCTTTCTTTTTCATTGCCTTCTCCCTCTAGACCTCAGGGGTTTGTCAACCTGCAGTGCAGTTGATTTTTACGTGTGTGACCGTTGTTGTTGTTTTTTTAATTGGTAGGGCACCTTACTTTTAGGCAGCCATATTTTTATTTCAAAAATGCTCTACATGTTTTGTTCTGACAAGAGTATTTCGAGACTTGGTGGGAAACAATTTTGAATTTCGCCCGGAAGGTGGCTGAGGCCAACTCTTATCGATATTAGGATGACCAAGACATTTTCAAAGTGTGCAGCTTACATTCGAGTCTTCTGAGATTTTTCGCCCTTATTCTTGATAAGGTGTTCGATGTTAGCTACCCTAAGATAAAGGATGTGCGGAAAAACAGGGACATATAGTTAATATGGAAAGAGTCCGGAGCGAAGGAGAGAGGAACCCGGAGGCTGGGTATGGACGTGTTGGGGGTAAAGGGGGAGGAGAGAATCGGAAAAAAAATTAAGAGGAAAGCAGGTGACAGAGCATGTCCCGTGAACAGCAAAGGATGTGAAAGGAGAAAATTCTAGAAAATAATACATTTTCCGTCCCTGTCAGGTTTCGAACCCGGGCCTTTTTTTAATGAGAGGCGAACACCGCATCTCTAGACCACAAAAACCTCTGGTGGGCCTTCCAAATATCGGAGTTTCCCTTGTTTAACTCCTTTACAGCTTCCACTTCATTGATGAGATGACTTGGCTCAATGCTTTGACTGTAAAGAACTCCAAATTACCGTACTCATGCCATATGTCCAGAGCGTCTCATGTTTCTGTTTGGGAGTTACCTTTTCTGGTGTATGTTTTCGATTGCTAACTTTTCATCTATCCTAACTTTTCTGCGATTGCTACTTGAATACTTGTTTCATGCATTTCAAGATTTCATTCCGCACTGTCCTGTTTGCTGTCCAGTCTTGCAAACCAACAGTCACCCGTTCATAGTGTGTTATTAATTCAAATTGACTGTCATTTTCTGGATCTTTAAGCTTAAAAAGACTGTATCTGACTTTCCTAATTGGCTTGTTTGGTTACTTACTTTCTTAGCTTTATTGGTACTAGAATATGGTCTGTATCACATCCACCCCTCGTCCTGTTGAATGGGTAACATGATAAATTGTATTTTGAAATGTTGAAACAGTTATTGATCATTATAATTGTGAACGATAGTACGCATGAGACCTATAAGACATAGCTTGTATGTGACCTTCACCGCACAAAGCCGTAGGATATATTACAATTTCCACTTATATATTTCCAGAGAAGACGAGTCAGGCTCTGAAATACGCCCAGCTTCAAACCAAACCTCAACAGTGAGCTTGGGAGACGTACAGCATCTATAGGTATAGAACATTCACGTGCGAAATGAAGGAAGCCGTTACCAGTTCCTGGACCTTGAATTAGACATTAACCCGCCATTTTAATGAAACATAAAGTTTCCAAAAAATGCAGAGTATCCAAGGATACATTAAATATACACGTGTATAAGCCAGTTGATCAAAAATGTTCTTGGAGTATTCCCAGCTACGTCAAAGGCATATTAGAATAACAATGATAGGTTGATAAAGCTATAATCAAGAAGAATGGGAGGAGAAATTATAGTTTGCTGAAGCATGACTTCCTACCAGACGTTATTTTGAGTATTTTTAAAAAAGAACAAAGTCTGGCAGCTTTCTTAACATTGTCTAGGCTGATGGAGCACACACCAACAGAAAACAGAGACAAACGTATTGACCAGCATACTGTGAGGCACAGAAGGGAATATGGACAAGGAGCGAAAATCAAACAATATTTTAATCAAACTTACGGGACTTGCAAATCACGTCTATGTTTAAACAGTACCTTCCGATGGAAGGCAATCTTTTAAATTTGACGTATGTGCATTTTGTGCATTATATTCAATACTTAGGTCGCACTTTCTTGTGATGAGCTGTAGGACTATTTGCCAACACTATTTCCCCCACCCTCGTGAAATAAACGGGGGGGGGGGGGGGGGGGGGGGGGGGGGGTAGGAAGTTCTAACAAAGTGAGACTTACTAGACTTCAAAACACTGGACATCTTAATGAACACCATGACATGATCAGACATATCGAAATTTCTGTTTGTTGCAGTAATAAATTGTACTTATCTTTGCATTAGGACAAACTAGTAAGCTTTGAAGAAAATTAAATAGCGCAAACTTCAGTAATGTGAATTACAGAGTAAAGTAGCTTTTACGTGTGTGTGTGTGTGTGTGTGTGTGTGTGTGTGTGTGTGTGTGTGTGTGTGTGTGTGTGTGTGTGTGTGTGTGTGTGTATGTGTGCATACGTGTGTGTATTATAATATGTGTGTGTGTGTATGTGTGTGTTTAAAACCAATTAAATGTCCTGTCACTTTCATCATCTCCACTTTCTCCCTTCATATTTCAGAAAACTGCGTCTTGAGCTCACAAATCATCAAAAGAAAAGAAAAACCACCACCCGGTATGTAAATCATTAGACGCCATGGGTATGGCGGATTTTTTGAAGATCTTTATTAAAATCAATAATCAGCTTTCCCGTCTGCTTCTGGCTCCCCGAGGAGTGAATACCATTGTGTATATTTCCCATTTATGGACGCCAAAGAGCACATACATTCCTTAGATCTCCTTTCCTTGTGCACTGATGGGATGAGGAAACCTTTACAAATTGGCTCACAGGGGAGCAAAGATGCTGTAGGCTTAACAACGCCAAACGTCGATGCAATCATGTTGGCTGTGGGTTTAGGGGGCATTGAAACATTGATTTTTTAGCAGGCAAGTCATTGAGGCTGGAGAGTCACTGTCTTCCCTTGTAAAATAAATCGATAGCTTTCAAGGAAATATTATTGTCAATTCAGCCGTATCCCAGGTATTTGGGCACGCTGCAGACGCATGTGGGATCACAAGGAAAGCGCGGCATTGAACAGTTCCCGTCAGTTTTTGATGTGAAAGATATTTATCTTTCTATTTGACACGCCAAGGCTCGTGAGTCATAACGTGTCAGCTCATCAGACATTTGAAAGAAATCGGAGACTCCAAGGCTGAATATTGTGTTCGTTTACAAAAGAATTGGGCTCCCTATCAGATATACATTAAAAGTAATTTCGAAGATAAAGAATTGGACCTAGTGATAAGAGTAGAGTAAAAGGAAAATAGGAAAGTAAAAATCAGAAGACATCAAAGAACCCAATCAAAAGA